TAGCTGTGTACATATGCAAATGAGGATTTATCATATTATAATTAAATCCATTCATTGCTTTACTGCAAATACAATGACCTTGCTTGCCATTGCCTTAAAGCGGGCAGCAGCGTTGGCAATATTTGCAGGTATAATATTGTAATGAGATTTCATTGACAACGGCTGACTGGATTTGTAAAGGCATACATATGTGAATATTAATGCATTTTTACAAAGGCTCAAAGATGTGTAGATTTTTTTCAGAGGCTTTGTTATTCTTATTAGGGCCATCCAATTTTCTAAAACTGTTATAATTGTCAATTTTTCTTTATCATAATTTGCTTAGTTTCTTTCAGCTTTAAAATTGTAAGTAGTCCTGCCAACTTTTCATAGCTATGGAGCGCCGTATTGAGGAAAAATTTAAAGAGTTAAAAATGGGTACAATTTTTTTAAACCAAAGTGAGAACATTCATCTCGACAGATTTTTAAGAGTGTTTCCACCTGTTTTAAAAAATTAAGTGTTTCAAAATGGATGAAAACTGAAAGAGTTTTAGAAAAGCCTAACTTCGCAAATATTTTAAAAAGGGGTTTGCCACCTGTTTAAAAATCAAACTTATTAATTCAAAAATCTTAATTAAATATTACAATACGAATGTCAAATGAAACAAGTTTAGGAAAACACTTTACTTCGAAAAATATATTTTTTTAAAGGGGTTGCCATCTATTTGAAAGTCTAATTCACTTTAATCAATAAGTTAGGCTAAATATTACAATATAGTTACCAAACAAAAGAAGTTTAAGAAAGCTTTATTTCGAAATTACTTTTAAAAAAGGTTGCCACATTTTCAAAAGTAAAATTTAATTTAGTTAATAAGTTAAATGACATATCACAATATTGGTGTTAAGCGTAAGAAGTTTCAGAAAACTTTACTTTGAAAATATTTTGAAATGGCGTTGCCACCTCTTTGAAAGTAAAATTTAATTTAATCGATAAGTAGAATGAAATATGATAATATGGGTGTCAAATGAAGCCAGTTTCAGAAAGCTTTATTAAGAAATTTTCTCTAGTAGTGGTTGCAACATTTTGAAGTATGGGTGCCAAAAGCAAGTGACTTAGGAAAGCATTTTATAAGAGATTTTTCATCTTTTCCAAATTTAAATAAGTTTATTATGTTTAAACCAAATAAAATATAATTATGTAAAATTGATACAAAATAACAATTCAAAAAACGTATGCCCGAAATATTAGCTACGAAGTTCAACGAATTCCCAAAATTGTTCCTTAATTTAATTAGGTTTTCATTTAAACAAACCAGGGTCTCCCTAATGTATTTACATATTTACAAAATTATACATATGTAACGCTTTTGCCAAATACGGGCGAGTCCTCTCAGTACATAGGTAACTAGACGTGTCAGGCATATTGAAGATCTGCTTCACATTCAAATCTCGCCATACATCATCTACTACCTTGGCGGTTAAACACTGCAAATCGACAATAAATATACGAAATAAAAATCAATCAACCATATTCATCAAGTAGAGCAAAAAAAGGCAAATAAGGAGAGAAATAAAGACGAGCAGAAAAAAAGAAGAACAAACAACATTGGAAAAAATATTGAATTTACTTGCACAGAGCAAGCAGAAAAAAGGTAACAAAAGGCTGTTTGTTCAAAAGGAGGCAGCTTCATGCCACTTGCCGCTTTTGGTAATCACAGAGGATCGATCTGCTTCATTTATTTCACAGGGTTTGAATTACATACATACATACATACATGGGTAGCTATTCATATCTTCATAGCCTATTATGACTCATCCCGTGTCTGTGAACACGATTGAACATGACTAATCCACGCAGAACAGGTAAAGGCTGGAGGTTCTGCTTCTGTTGGTTTGTCTGGCGGCTGAGAATCATAACCGGTCTGTTGTGAAATTCGCGAGTAAATAAATATTCATGCACACACATATTGGCACAAGAATAAGGCGAAAAAGTATTTTTAAGGTTTTGCATTAATAGCAAAAAGGAGCAAAGTAGCGAAATGGATGTTGTTTTGATTTTTACGCTTTCAGAAATATGTGGCAACACTTGAGATGCGCATGAACTGACAACAACCCACTATAGGAAATTGATGAACCGAAGCAAGTGGATAGTTAAGTGCCGATAAATAATATGCGACATATTCATAGTCAAAATAAAATCTACTATTAAGTTAGTTGCAGCTTTTGACTTAATTTTTAATGGAATATGTGTCAAAATAAAAAAAATTGTGTGTTGATTCCCTACTTACCCGTATTACTATATTACTAGAGGGCCCCCATGGCGTTACCATCTTCCAAAGCCTAAAAAAAAAATATTCCAAATATTATTCAGCCATTTCTGCGTGAAGCAGAATTTTCGCATGGTTCGGTTTATCTAATTTCAAATCAATCTGTACCGATAAGAAAGTTCTAACTTCAAAAAATAAAACGTTGTTTCACATGTACAGGCCAAGAAGATCTTTTATTGGATTGGAATTATATATATAATTGTTAGATAGATATGACTTTTCGAACAGGTGGCAGCCCTAAACAAAAGTCTTTTCAAACTAAAGCTTTCATAAAAATCTTTCGTTTGACATTCGTATTTAAATATATCATATATGTACATATCTTGTGTATTAGTTAACTAAACTCCACTTTTTAAATAGGTGGCAACCTTTTAAAAAAGCATTTTTAAACTTAAATCTTCTTAATTCTTTTTCGTCTGACTTGGGATACAAATTTCAATTGATTGATGAATTAAGTTGAATTGAATTTTCCAAATACGTGGCAACACTTCTAAATACAGTTCAGAAATAATGTTTACACAAACCAATTTCGATTAATACCCACCTTTTATTAATTTATTTGACTTATTAAATAACTTCAATTTAACTTTCAAACCGGTGGCAATTTTTCCAAATTACCTCGAAAATATACTAAATATTTAATACTTCATTTAACTTGTTAAAAAATTTAATTTAACTCGACTTTTCAAACAGGTGGCAACCCTGTTCAAAATAATTTCAAACTCAAACCATTTTAAACCTATTTCGTCTGACATCCATATTTTGAACAAATTTCAATTACTAATTGCAGCAATTCAAGTTAAATTTAATTTTATTTTAATGTGGCAACACTCCTAAATATATGTAGTTCGGAATTAAAGACTTTTCAAACTGTTTTCCATCTTTTAATAATAAATTTAACGCACTAACTAATTTGATTTTAATTTCTTAAACAGATGACAACTCTCTTCAGACACTTTACAAATACCCTAAATGTTCAAACTAAAGATTTCTTAACGCTATTTTGGTCGACACTTATATTTTATACCTTGTGCATAATTTAATTAAATTCACAGGTGACAACACTACTCCAAATATTTTCAAAAGAAAAAGTTTTTAAATCTATTCCGTCTGACACACAAATTGTGACATTTATCTAAATTGTCCAATTGAATTTAATTTAGGTATATTTTTATCAAGATTCCTTTAGCTTTCATTATGGAGGCTGGAGGTATCCTGAGCTTTCAGCAAGAAACTACTCTGCTTACTCTCCTACAACGACTGTAACTACATTCAATACTATTCAGTTTTTATTACACACTCCACCGGGTTATGGGAAAGGATAGAGATAAACAATAAGTACAAAGGCACTTTTTTTTTTTTAATATGCGCGCCAATATGTGTCCACATTTAAGCGGAGCAGCGCAAACATACAGAACTAACTACGCCCTCGACAGCGCAGCGCACAACGTAGGCGAACGCACATCAAATGAAATTCAATACAGTTTCAACCGAAAACAAAACAAAAAAAAAAACAACGAAACACGCTGTTAAACTTGTTTCGCGTATGCGCGCGCGCGCGAACAAGTTGCTGCCCTAAGTCTTTTGATTTGTTTGGGTTTTGCGCAGCAGCAGCAGGAGGAGGGAGCCGCGGCGAAAAGGCAGTCAGTCGTTGCGTTACCTCGCAGCCTTTGTTTACTTTTGCTTGCTTTGTTGTTGCCTGTAATGTATGCATGCGTGTTGTTGCATCGCTTCTGGCTATGTTGTTGTTGCTGTTGTTGCTGCCGTTGTGCCATTAGCATTTCGAATTTTTATTACTATTTACCAACAAAAGCGTCGTGTGAATATTTTTGCGCTGAAATCTTAACAAAGTCAGCAGGTAGTAAAATATGTAGTTTCACAAATGCACTCGCTGCAACGAGCTGCATGTCTATATTTATTTACTTTTACACATGCTCGTACGTATGTATGTATGTATGTTGATGTGTTTGCAATGGAGCGCATTTGTTTACATTTGCAAACCAAATTATTGACTATGCGTAGAGTTCAATGTACTAAGCAGAGACGTTGTAGATAAAATGTTGAATAGAATTTTTTATTATTTTGTGTACTTAAGAATAGGTTATTGAATTTCAATTAAGATGTTTCGAGAATTCTTTAAATTTTGCTTTTCTGCAGGGGCTTTGTATTCTTATGAAAGCTACTTTCCTTATATTGGTTGCGATGAGACAAATTAAAACTAGCTGCTTCATCTTCCTAGTGCAGAATTATGTCAAAAGTGGACGCGATAAAGGGTGTCTAAAAGTTTCCACAACATTTGAATTAGAAAGGAAATGCATGTATATTCTTTATTTCCAATACTACTTAAATTATTGCGTTTTGTTATTTAGGCTTTTAATTGTTCTTTGAAATTTTAAAAATCTGCAAAGCTTCAGCAAAATCGCGAACTAACTAATACCACACTAACAAATTATACGCTCGATGACAATCATAACGCAAAAAATGTACGACAAAATATTAATTTTGGTAATTATGATTAGCCTTGCCTCGGTAACCACCACCTTGTATGAATTCGCCTTGCTTAAAGCACTTCAAATTTTCATAAGTTATTTTTTACATTCAGTATTTTCTTTTCAAGAAAAAAAATCAAAAATTCATACATTTGAATCTAAATAGACAAATCAACTTAATACATATTTTGCCAAATCGAACAAAATGCGCTATTACTTATTCGACGAAGTGGTGTTGCACAACAAAAAAGATGATTTCTGGGTTGTGTTGCACGGCAATGTGCTAAATCTGACGCCGCTTATGAAAGATCGATGCGATCACTGGAATAGCGTAAGTAACAGTTAAAGCAGCAGTGAATAGTGCAATAGAAATGTGGCATCTCAATTACATATACATATGTATCTTTCAACAAGAATCTGGAATATTTACTCGCCTTCGGTGGCAAGGATCTTTCGCATTTCTTCGAGGAGACACTAATGCCCAAAACCGAAGCTTCGCCGGTAACCGGCCGGCCGCGTCTACTCTTTCCACCTATCCTAGAAACGGCGCTCAGCGAAATGTGCAAGACAAAGGGCAAACTGTGGAGTCAGGATCCAATGTATCATATCGGCCGCTTGACGAGGCGTGATCGGCGCGTACGCATCATCAATACACTCACCGGCACCACACAGCTGATGAAGGTGTGCGATGAGGATACCATTTATGATATACAATGCAAATACAAGCAATTGTATAACCATCATGCCGGTAGCTACGTGTGGCGGAAATTATCGAATAGGGTAAAGAATTATAGGCCTTTTTTTTGTTTTAGAATTTTTGCAAATTTTAGTGAGTATATGCTTTTGAATTTGTGTGTGTATTTAGCTTCAATGCGGCGTTAAATTAAATTTAAAAGGTACTTTGGACGAAAATGGCTTGGTTGAAGAGGAAAATTGTAATTATGATCTGCCACCACCATCAATTTGGCTCTACTATACCAATGATGTGACAATCGCGTAAAACTAAAACAAATATTTACAACTATTTACAATTGTATGTGAGCTGCATGTTTTTTTTAATAATCAATCAGTATTTGTTGTTGTAATCATCAATGTGCGATAATACATTCATATTCTACAAAATTCATCGAATCGGCTTGATCACTTTGAAAAGATAGGGTGTCACAATGCTCACTTACTAAAAGACTATCATAACTAAAAAATCTAAATTTTCGAGAAAATGAAGCAAAATTGCCCAAAATTGTTTAAAAATTTCGAGCTATGCATTTTTTCTGCATTTTGGGAGCAGATTGAAAACTATAAACGCGTCGTGATGATTTCAAAAAGGCATTATGTCACTATATTAGTGTTAGCACAGTTCCAATCCGAAAAACTAGGTTATAATTTTTTTATCGATAACCAAGCGGTTTTGATAACTAAAAGCTCAGTTAGTCTAGACTTAATTTACGTAACGTAAGCTAATATATTGCCCAATGCAGTAATTTTTGTTCAGGAATTTTTTGATGTGGCTTATAGGCGACAAAGTGACAATCAGACAATCAGCTGAAAGGGAAAATACAAACGCAAAATATTTTCCCTGCTGGCCAAGTTGACGTGTTAAGCAATCATTGACGATTTCTTACCTAAGTTAAGTTTAGACTAGCTGAACCTTAAGTTCTAAATTAGTAAAATGCCGCTTTGGCGATTGTGCCATCACTTTTTTCTGCGTTTCCGGGCATATCAATACCGACGGACAACTCTGCAAAACCGCTGTTTAGTTACAAATGTCCGCTTTTAATAGGAAAACAGGGATAAGAGCTTCTGAAATTCCAAATACATTGATGAAGCATAACTATCAACGAGTTCTCTCAACAGGAATCAACTTTCTGTCTTGATATCCGGAACTACAGCCGTGGGGATCTAAACACCTGAGATAGCGCTTCTTCACCATTCTGGAAGAGATAGCAGAGGCGTAGCTCTTGGACCTCCTCAATATCGTTTGGAGCAGCAAGTGGTTCAGCAGGTTATAGGAAGGCGCCTCCTTCAAATGCTCACTCACAAATATAATTTTTGCTCGTTTCAATACCACAACTCACCGTTGCATTTGATCAAAAAGAAAATATGTAGTTCATGGAAATAGAACTTTCCCAAAAACTAGAAATAAGTTGCACAAAATCCTGGACTGAGTTTAAGTTTCAAAAAAGAATGGTTTGCATCAGGCAATGTTTGGTGGTGTGGTGGTCTCGCACCCATAGCGCTGGAGAAAGGGCGGTGGATATATTTTAAAAATATTCTACGATTGCCATCGAATTTATATCAAATCAAAGAGGAGGCTTATGGCTATACGCTTCAAATTATTTTAGTTCTCAGTACGGAAAAATGATTTGAAAATAAACATTTCACAAAATAAAAACTTTTTACCAGTGAAAGCTCGTTAGTAGGCGTCGATGTTTGTTCCCCAAGTACTTTTTCTGAATTTTGGGTTTATGGATCTCCAATTACCGCGCGAGTTAATTTTCATTTTGCGCTGTAAGGCGTCTAGTTCACAAACAAGAACCAATTACAAGAAACGAAGGACATATTCGGAATCAGCGACCCATAAATAGGTGGCATTCAGGCAGGTTCGGCAATTCACTTCCGAGTAAACTTCAACCCCTTTCTCCGGACAAGGTTTTTGGTGATCTGTGTAGTGTTAATTACTTCTATCCGCTACGATTTTAATGTAAATAGATTAAGATACTCTGGATTATTGGGAGTCATCCGCCATATGAGGATTTTGCATACATTTTAGTGAAACCTAAAAGCCTCAGGAGCCCGGTGTGTTATGCTAGCACCGTCACTCATACCTATTTACTCGTATATACAAATGTACATTTATGTGAATAACCTGAATACAAAAGGCCAATAGCAGGCTATAAATATGGTTGTGAAAATCTTTGGACAACTTTGACAAGTACTACGTCTCTGTGAGAACTCGTGTTACATACTTTGGTCAAGTAACATCTTCATTCAAATAGAGGAGTCAATTGTCTTTTGTTCCATGGAAAAACTTGAAAAGAGTTTATAACTTTTTATTGCTCAGCTGGCTGCCTCTTTTTTAAAGTATGCACAGCTGAGGAAAACTCCCTTTAACATACCAGCTTAAATGCTGTTGGCGTTGACAAGTGATTTTTATCAATTTGCTAGCAGAAGCAAAAATCACTTGAAGCGCCCCTGCCAGCGCCAAGCACAAACAAACAGCAGCAGTGTGACAATAAATGGCAGCAAACAAAAACAAAAAAACTTTAAATAAGCAAAAAAAAAAAAAAGAAGTATGTGAACATGCAAATGCGAGTATATAATTTGCAAAGTGGACAGCCTACAAACTAATTGCGAATGCTCGAACAACAAGTTTGCGACTTAAGTCTTTGGTTTTGCTGAGGAATTTGCTCAATGCACTTTTATAGAGCCACCTAAGGTAGTAGCTACATACTTATGTATGGTACATACATATATACGTGCGCCAGAATGTTGGCTTGTCTAATAATTGTTTATGGGCAGGCATGAATTTGTGTGTGTGTGTGTGTGATTATTGTTTTCACAACGCCAAATAACAAATGTTTGCTGTGAGAAAGTCATTTTCTAACTTCTCAACATGCGATTATTTCGCCTACATTCTTGCATTCCTTTGCCCTGCGATGGACATATGCGGGTGGGGGGGGCGGTTGTTGCGGAGTGGCTGTTTGCTACAGTTTGATTTTGCTTTTGCACGCAAGCTTTGGAAATGGAATTTCGCATGCGCATTCCAGCCTGCAATGTGGAACGAGTGAAGAAATGGAGGGCGAAAGAGTGGCATGCGTACCTAATGCCAAGTTATAAAATCGCATTTGCTGCTGTCGGATTTTGCTCGCAATTTTGATGTGTGATTTTCCCAAACGAAGACAGACAAGCGGAAGTCCGGCAGCTTTAGGCGAGGAGTACGGGCGGTAAAATATTTAGAATGGAATGTTTTCACAGAGCAATGCAAATTTTAATTTTCGTAGTAAATTTCGTTTATCGTTCTGTTAGTCGGATTTCAAGTTGATTTATTTGAGGATTTTGTAGAGATTTACATTTTAATTTGTTCGTTTGCATATCAAAAAAAAATAAAATAAAATAAAAAATCACTAATGATGTCCGGCTTGCTGGCAAGCAATTTTTGAAAGTTATGTGTGTGAATTTTCGACATGCGAATTCATGTGAAAGTACTAGTTATGAATTTAGTAAAAATTTTGAATTCAGTATAAATGCGTTTTTTTTTTACTTATTTTTAATCACTCAACTGTAAAATTAACATAAAAATTAAATATTCTAGAAATTAGTTGTATTCAAATTGAAATATTGAAAATAAAACACACACAAAAGCAGGTCATTTACAGTGGCATTTGTCTGAAAAAGGAAGTGGCTTTCGAATTGTTTTCGGCGCTCTTTTTTTTTAGGGAATGGCCAGGCCAACGCAAGCCATAATTGGCCGCAAGCACACCTAAAAAAGCACTGAAGCAAGTGTACAAATTGACAACTAAATAAAACGTTTGTGCAGATGTACAATGTATGTATGTACATACATAGTAAGCACGAATTATATATATATGGTCAGTCAATGCATAACTTCAACTTCCGGGCCATAATAATGATAGCACGAAGTTAGTGATAGAGAGGCTAAGAAGTGTTAGCCTGTCGTTGGCTAGGTGGTCAGCGATGTAATGCACACAAAAGGGTCAAATTACTTTTCATTTTAAATTTTCCAATTATAGTAACGCCTGGTCGTAAAACAAATTACAACAAAAAATGCAATGAAAACTTATAATAAAAATAAAAACAATACACCTGAGGGTTATTCCAAGCCAAGAGTGTAAGGAACGCTGTACTTTTTTTGTTATTTCTTCTATGTTTCGCAAGGAGTACTGGTTTCTCTGTGCTGACTCAGCACTGCTGAGCTCCACAGTTTAATTTGCATGCTTTGAGCAACCATTACATTTACCTTAATCTGTTTATCTTTAAAATCATTTTATTCTTTATCACTCCCTTTTTTGTATAATCTTCCCCTTTATGATTGTATTTATTCTTGCATTGATATACATATTCACCATCCCCTTTGCCCTTGTAAAAGTAGCATTTAAGTTTACTTTGATCTTCGCCTTTATCTTTCATATCTTTGTTTTTATTTATATCTTGGCCTTTATCCTTTTCTTCCAATTGTCCCTCTCCTTTTACAGTTTTTAGACTATTCAATTAGCTTTTTTTAATGCAACTTTGGAGAGATTTGCTTTTTGATATATTTTTCTTTTTTTTCTGTAAATTCTTGATGTTCTTATAGACGTCTGGCCAAGTAAATCTCTTAACCTTCCCAACATACAGTCAGTCAATTAAGTTTAGGTACAGCGAAATACGGGCAACTATTTTTTAAATATTTTTTTTTCGCTATTTTTGTATAAAAATAGTGTTAATTCTACAACAAAAGCACTAAAAGCAGAGTTCCACACCTTGTGCAAAATTAAAGAAATTTCTGCAAAATTTCATTTAAATAATCCACTTTTTATTTACGCTCTCTAGTAGAAAGTTGAGTATGCACTTTTTTAGTCCAATCAATTTTAGTATAATAAGGTGCAAGTATGAGTGAGCTAGGACTTACCATTGATTTTCCGTTGATTTTGTCTAGGCCATCGGGATCACGAATACCCTTGGGTGACTTAATTCTGCTCTTCATTAGTGTAATATCTAATTTTCTAAATAGATTCTCTCGACATCTTCTTGAAAGCAAAAAGGCGAAAAAAGGTCAAAAAACGATATATGCCTGAGTACCAACCGGTTACATATTAACTAAAAACCCCACATCGTAGCAAAGTTATATTTTTGGTACACCACTTGGCGTTGGGATCTATTTATGTAGACAATTTTATTTTAAATCCTTTGTAGAGGTTATGGGCGTGGAACACCCCACACTCCACATCAATTGCCAATATAAAATATAACTCAAATTGTATTATTTAGTATACTTAACGT